GGTCAGCCGTGTCATGGAAATCCTCAAACGAATGTTAATAGCTATATCCACGATGGAGTCTGAGCTAATAGCCTTGGATAAGTGCACTGAGAGGTTGAATGGGTACGCCATTTTCTCGAGGATATTCCAAGTTGGAAAAAGCATGTCCCTCCAATATGCATACATTGCGATTGTCAAGCGGCAATTGGAAGGGTACAGAGCAACATGTACAATGGTAAGTCTAGACACATCCGTCGTAGACATAACATCATTAAACAACTCCTCACAACGGGTGTTATCACCGTTGACTACGTGAAGTCAAAGGATAACATAGCGGATCCGCTAACCAAGGCATTGGATAGAGAATTGTTGCAGAAGTTGTCACGAGGAATGGGACTAAAGCCCGTAAATTGAAAAGTTCTATAGTGGATACCCAACCTAGTTGGTCCTAGGTTCAAAGGGGACAACTAAACTATAGAGCGAAGGATGGTCACTGTGCTGGACTCCTACCCACTCCTCGTTAAAACAGTGACTCCTGCACGAGGTTAGAAAAAATGTTGCTTTAATGATTCTAAAATGTTGATCTACTCGATAACATTGGAAGAGTATGCGGGATACTCGTGAAAGAATCACCTATGTGAGAGAGAAGAGGGTCGCTTCAAAGGAGAACTGTAAAGGCTCAGTTCTTTAGAAACTCTTGCAGAACCAGGATGGTGACTCATGGCCAAAACGGGCACACCCATGAGAACGGAACAAAGTTGGAAGGTTCTTGTGTAAAGATAAGTCAATGTTTACATGACGGCAGTATAGTTCAAGGACATCGAGTCTACTAGACAGCCAGTAAATAAACGTGTCTTTACAGCGGAAGGTTCAAAGGATAAAACCTACCTCTCCGTATGCAAGGATCATCCGGTGAACACAACGTGTTCTCCTATCTTCGTGTCTTTTTAAGTCTCTAAAATCAATTTTCATTCATGTGGGGGATTGTTGGAAAAATATGTTAAAAATTGCATTAAATGGTCATTTTGGGTCAATTATTTGAGTGGGGTCCACTTCCGATTTGGGTCGGGTCAAAGTGGTTTCGGATTGTCCTTGTTAAGGGCTACAATTAGATATGTGGTACACTCAAAACGGATAACGGGTGAATGAGAAATTGATTCTTGAAGTTCACTCGTTGAAATGGAAAAACTGGGAAAATGATGGGTTTCTAGTGTGTTTTATACCACACCGGAAAACTCAAGGGATTTTCACACCTTATAAAGGGAAGCCTCTTTTAAGGATTTAAGATTCCTAAAGGTAAAGGCTCTCTCTTACGCGCAGGGCGGGGTGCCGATCAAATCCCGAAACAGAGAAGAAAAATCGCGACTCGTGTGCGCGGGCGACCTGCAGACACGAATGCCGTCCGAAAAATCTATCATTCAAAGATAGAATTTAACTTTTGTTTCTTCCCGTAACGTTCCTTAATTGTTTCCAGACCGGCAGAACTGCTCCGAACAGAAGGCTTCATACCAGAACACCACGTAAGGTATTCTGGTGGCTTACAGAACACAACACCTCGTGGGGGAGTTATGTTGGCCTCCGGACAGAAGGCCTCATGGCTCTTCTATTGGCCTCTGGACAGAAGACCTCTGGGCTCTTCTGGTACCTTCCGAACAGAAGACCTTAGAGGTATTATGTTGGCTTCCGGAACAGAATACCTAAGCTGTTACGAAAGTTAATGCCCAACATTCTTGTCTTTTAATGCATCTTTAAATGGACAGTTTTTCAACATATTAATGTCCAACATGCTGGACATTTATGTGAAACGTTCAGGTCCATTAAAGCTCGATTAACACACCACAAATCCTCCTATAAATAGTTGTAAGGTGCTTTGCAACAAGAAACAACACACAATACATTCCTCACGTATTTTTGAGCTCTAAAACACTTCCAGTTACTCCGAAAATTCCTGAGTGTTCTGCCTTTCTTCCCATTCGCCGGAACTCTCGTTTGTGTGCTCAAACGTTAGTTCGTTAGCCACCGTATCCTGGGAAACGGTCGTTGCAACGCTCCTAGCACCGTGGGAGGCAACGAATATGTTTTAAGGACATCGTGTGTAGCACGAGCTCTGGGTAAACTTTGTCCCTTTTTCTGTTTTTCTTTGGCTATTTAATTAATTAACTATTTTTATTAATTAATATTTCTTCGTTTTTCTGAGACACACCCAACAGTATTTACTTCTGTTTTTGTTATTAACCGTTTACCCACTCCCATTTTATCGGGAAAATCCCCTTTTGAAGTTTTGTTTAACACTCCTCTGGATCTTTCTTTTCTTCGTGTTTTTGGCTCCTCCTGTTTTCCTCTTATTTCTAATCCTCCAAACAAATTGTCTCCACGGTCTGTTCATTTTGTTTTTTTAGGGTATGCGTCGGGCTATCAGGGTTATCGTTGTTATGATCCTAAAACCGGACGTATTTATGTTAGTCGGCATGTACGGTTCCATGAAACTGAGTATCCATATCCCTCCATTGCCCCCGTGTCGTCTCCAGCCGAATCATCTACCCTAGATTTTTGCCCGTTGTCCCACTCTTCTCAGCGCCCCTTTTGTCTCCCCTCTCCACCCTCACTGCCCATTTCTCTCCCAAACGCCCCCTTACTGCCCTTGTCTCCTCCACCTATACACACCTCTCCCATAGAACCCTCTTCGCCCACTCCCTACTCTTGTGACCCTCCGTCAGCCTCGGCCTCTCCCTCTTCTCCGATTATGCCTCAGTTAGTCAGCTCACCTAGTGTATCGATTTCTCCTAGTGTGTCACTCGACTCTTCCTCTATTGTGCCTGGCTCCCCTTCCCCGCCGTGTCAGAATATTCACCTTATGCAGACTCGCTCTAAATCTGGTATTTTCAAACCAAAAACAATTTTTACTCTTAATACAGTTAGTACTGCGCCTGATCCTACTTATTTTTCTCAAGCAAATAAAGATTTAAAATGGCGTGAGGCCATGGCAGAAGAATTTAATGCACTCATCACCAATCATACATGGGACTTAGTGCCATTTAATCCTTCCAAGAATTTGGTTGGGTGTAAATGGATTTATAAAACTAAATACCTTTATGATGGGTCTGTTGAGCGCCATAAGGCTCGTTTAGTTGCACAAGGTTTTAACCAGCAAGCTGGTGTTGATTTTTCTGACACTTTTAGCCCAGTCGTTAAACCCACCACTGTTCGTATTGTTCTCATCATTGCTATTTCTTTTGGATGGGTTATTCGTCAGCTAGATGTCAAGAATGCATTTCTGCATGATCATCTAACTGAGGATGTGTACATGCGTCAGCCCCCTGATTTTATCCACCCTCAATTTCCCCATTATGTATGTCGTCTGCGTAAGGCTATTTATGATCTTAAGCAAGCTCCTCGGGCTTGGTTTCATCGTTTCAGCAGCTTCCTATTAAGTTCTGGTTTCGTATGTAGCAAGTCAGATAACTCTTTTTATTTTCCGTCAAGGTCGTTATATTGTTTATCTTCTTGTTTATGTGGATGACATTATAATTACCGGTAATTCTCCGTCTTTTATTAATAAGTTCTTAGCTACTCTAGCTCAGGTTTTTGCTATGAAAGATCTGGGTAGGTTACACTATTTTCTTGGTATTCAGTCTTCTCACACTTCTCAAGGTCTGTTCCTCTCCCAGCATAAATATGTTAATGATCTTCTTAAACGGTTTCATCTTCATACCCTCAAACCCGTTCGTACTCCTCTCCCTTCCCGTACCACCTTATCCCTCACTGATGGGGAACTTTTAGCCGATCCTACAGAGTATCGTAGCATGGTTGGTGCTTTACAGTATTTGACTATGACGCGTCCAGATATTACATATGCGGTACACTTAGTTTCCCAATTTATGCATGTCCCCCGCACTTCACTTTTTTGGCAGTTAAACGTATTTTCAAGTACCTTCAGGGGACATCAGATCATGGTCTTCTACTTCGCCCTACGAAGGACCCGGCGATAGTCATAGCCTATTCAGATACAGATTGGGCTGGTTGTCCCGATAGTAATCGTTCTACCACCGGTTATGCAATATTTATGGGACCTAATTTGGTGTCTTGGCTGTCCAAGAAGCAGCCCACAGTATCCAAATCCTCCACTGAAGCTGAATACAGGGCAATTGCTTATACTGTTCAGGACACATTGCATATCAGGTCTGTTTTATTTGAGCTTGGCTTCCCGGTTCGCACACCTATCAAGCTAAAATGTGATAATATTTCTGCATCTTATTTAACTACTAATCCTGTTCAACACGCTCGAAGCAAGCACATTCGTATTGATTATCACTTCGTGCGGGAACGGGTGTCGCATGGTGACTTGGTGGTTGAATATGTTCCGACTCAGCTTCAATTGGCGGATATTTTTACCAAAAGTTTATCCTCTCAGCGTTTTCATTTTCTTAAAGATAATCTTCGCATTGTTTCCCCTGCTCAGATTGAGGGGGTGTAATAGAGCATAAATATTGGGATTATTATGTAATTTGTAAAACTTTATCTATTATAAATATATCCCTTAGGGCTACCTATTGGATAAGCCACTTCATTATTTCACATACATATGTGTCGATAGGTGCTGGAATGACCTGCTCATACCCAAACTGTCGCAATACACGATCAGGCAAATGAAGCTCAACAATGTCAAAACATATCAACGGCACACGTGCTCGCCATATGTGAGAATGCTCTCGTCCAGCGGGGGGTAAATCTGCAAACATCTCAGTTGTATATGGCATCCATGTAATCTGTTTCATAAAGATACAATATTAGTATTTCTGCTATAGATATTATAGTTAATGTTATATTACGTACAACATACCTGATCTTCAGACATCCGATCAAACGCATCTCTGTACACACCGAGCCTAGAAGCTGATGATGTGCGACATAGATCAGCAAATAGCCATCTAACCATTCATGTAGCATATATTAATGTGAATATTATGAATATATTTATATTCAACATACAATAACATAAATTCAAACGATTGAAAACATACCGACGGCCCAGAGAGTCCTCGCCCCGTACATGATGTGGTCTCAGGAGACGTGGAGGCTCATCAGGCAGTGGGTGTCCATCAATGCCATGATATGCCACTATAATGGGACGCCCAATGTGGATGTACTCCCATGACCAAATCTGGAGAAGAAGCAAAAATCCTCCAAGCTCTATGCTCCCTCTATAGCAACCGTGACACAGCTGTCTGTAGAGATAAGCTAGCGTGGCACTACCCCAACTGAACTGTGCTGCTACATCAAACCTCTCTAGCATAGGCAAGTGCAGCACCTGAACCTCATTTCCGCTCTTGTCAGCGAAAATGAAAGCTCCCATCATCATCAAAATATATGTTCGTGCATGCTGCTGGATCATCACCTCATCAGCGTCCGCATAAAGATCGGCGAAATGCTCCCTCAGCCATGGCATCCTCAGAGATGACCCCTGAAGGTCAGCACGAAGAAGGGGGCGAACACCCAACAAACGCTCACACTCATCAACTCACTCTCGACAAGCAGTACCAGCAATAGCTCTCCCATGGACCTGTAACCCAGTCAGTACAACAACATCTCCCAAGGTCACTGTCACCTCACCAACAGGGAGGTGAAACGTGTGTGTCTCCTGCCTCCAACGCTCAAGAAGAGCAGTCAGTAGCGCTCTATCGAGAGGGACAGTAGTCACCAATCTATGCAGACCATAAAAACCCGCATCACGAACATGTGGAAGTACTATGTCGTCCACCCGCACATGCGACAAACCACGTAGGTGCTCGCGGCACCTATCCACCTGAACATCGAGGCCAACCCACACATCCTCACTCCTGTGTGAGGCCTGCAATGTCAGGACAGAACGATCACTCGGCTCAGGATCCGCTAACACCTCCATGCCTACAAAAAAAATAAAAGGATATTAGTTGATTTTTAATTTTGTATTATTTTATTTTATTTTAATTAATATTTTACTAATTATTTTTTTCATGCACCGTTACTATCAAATGTGGAATATTATAATTTGGACTTTACCCAGTGGACCCCCCTCCATCTCTTGATGATCTCTTTGCACATGTGGCCCTATTATGGCCGGTTTGTTTACATATTCCACATCTATCCGTTCCTCATGGACCTTCATCCATCTCATTCTTAATACGTGTGGACTTAGGTCTTCCCTTAGCGCGAACCATGGATGGATCATGCACAATTTAAGGTGCATAGTAAGTCAGCCAATAATCACGATCAGGAATGGGTTTAAAGACTCTTTGATCTGTGGCGGCATATTGTTCAGATGAGAAAAATAGATCCACAAATGGATGAGAAGACAAACTACGTTATACACATATGCTTCTCATCAACATGATCATTAACAACAAAAGCTTCAAAAAGACCATAAGCTTGAAAACCAAATTCATAATCTTCATTACAACAATACAACCAAATTCAACAACCAAATCAGTACCCACATACAACCACACAACACCTAAATATATGCTAATATATCCTACTTCCCAGCTAGATGATAACAAACAACCCGAACCACACTACATTCCAGGAGAAAGTCTCATTGCCTTTCTTTGACATCTTAAGTTCCTCTTCCATATTTTGGAGTTTCAAAAGACCAACCCCACGAACACAACTCTTGATTTCAGATTGCATCTCTAATTCTTTCATTCGGAAATTATCTTCAACACTGGTAATCTTCTGGGGCAAGGTCTCTATCCGTCTCAGGCAAGTACCACATTCTTCATCCTCAACCCATTAAAAGAAATTGCACTTTTGACCACTCAAGAAACGACCGCACCCATAAAATCTTTTCCCCCTGTTTTTATCTGTTGTAGAAGTCCACACTGGTGCTTGGAGTCCACAGTCACACCTCTTAATTCGCCTTCTTGCATTCATCGACCAGGACTAGGTACTTGAAGAACTCATCGACGTCTTACTCCCCTTTCTTTATTTCCTTCACCGACGTCTTAGGACTGCCTTAAACAAGAGGCTGAAGGGTTTTAATGATTAAGCAGAAAAGAAAAGCCACTATATATGCGTAAAAGAACTATTTCAAATTTAACCAAATAAATGATGCCACGTCAGTCCAAACTAACGTCGTAAGGGCCGGTGCCCCGGGTGAGATAACGGAGTGAAATCACGCGCCCGTGTTTGTCAAGAAATGAAACTCATGCCCCCAATTGAAAACACCCCAAACCACAAGTACGTTTACTGTAGTTTTCCCAAAAAATAATACATTCTAATTTTTGAGTTTTTTTAGCATTAATAAAGTTCAAAAATTTAACAAAGTTCAATTCATACCTCCAAATCTACATTACGTAACAAAGTTCAAAAAATATATATAACAATGAATTCAACATCAACATTCAACACTTCATACATATTCACATTACACAACAAATCAATTCACAAATGAATTCCTAATTTACAGAATCCAATTTTCTATATTCTAAACCCTAAAATGAAAAATGAGATAAAATATATTGGAGATATGTGTTTACCTAGAGTGTTGAAGAAGATGGAAGTGAAGTAGTATTGACAAGATAGGGAGGCCTCGCCTGAGTTTCGCCGGACTTGGAACCTGTTTTCCCGCTCGTCGCTCGTCCTCGCTCATCCTCGTTGCGCTGCTTTTGGGAAGGGGGTGTTGTTGTTGTTCTGTCTGTGGCGTAGCTTGACCCGACGTTTTAATTTAAGCGGATGGCGACTTATAAGTCGTCCAACCGTTTGGCGATCTACCCTACCATGGTTAAACCCAACAGTAGATCGGTAAATACTTTTAACCCAGCATTATTTTCGAAATTAATTAATTAGCATTAATTTGAAAAAACTCGCAAATAATAACTTACCTAAATTGCAAAAGCAAGAGTTAATTTTAAAATTCCCTAATTAATACGGAGTACGTAATTGGACAAAAACATCATTGTAGCGTTACTGCTCCCACACAAAAAAACGTGTTATTGTTCACGCGCGTGAACAATAACTTCTTTTTTGTTTTTTCATTGTCCCAGTAGCGGAATAGGTGTAACTCGCGTGTAACAAAATGTAACTCGCGTGTAACAAAATGTAACTCACGTTAATAAGAAATGTAATAACAAACAAGTCAAAATGTAACTTGTTTAATACGAATTATAAGAAATAAAACATTGATTTTAATGAAAACAAGGAGTCTGATTGCTCAATTACTTTACTTAAATAGTTTATATGTTTTGTTTTTAATATTAAGGACATAATTTTTTTAACTTTTTTTTCAAAAATCATTTTTTTGGGCAAAAACTCATTTTGTTTTTGCAAAAAAAGTAATTTTTTTATTCAATAGCAGGGGTTAACATAAATGGTGAATATGTTTTTTAATATTAAGTCCATAAAAATGTTTTTAAAAATATATTTTTTGCCAAAACACATTTTTTTTTGGAAAACGTTTTTTTTTGCATAACAATGATTCTTTTGTTTCAATAGTAGGCTTTATGTTGTGATGTAATTCGTATTATAGAAAATGTAACCCGCGTTGATTGAAAATCTAACTTTAGTGTATGCAAAATGTAACATGTTGAGGCAAACTCAAATGTAACTCGCGTATAGAAAGATGTAACTCACGCACAAGAAGATGTAAATCATGCATAAGAAGATGTAACTACATATAATATCAAATGTAATTATAGAAATTGTCTATAAACATAACTCACACATAGTCACATACGCAAAATGCATTATATATTCTCATGTTTTTTTCAAATTTAAATCGAAATAAACAACCTTAATGACTATAAAACACAAAAAACATATAAAAGAGATAAGAAATATATTATAGAAAAAGTATATGAATATAAAAAATATTTTACAAAAAAAGTGTATAATAACTATAAAAAAAGTATACAAAGTAAGAAATAGTGTATGAATATGAAATACAATATACTTATTTTATGTGGATTAATAAAATTTTGTATTAAATTGGTAAAGAAAAAAATTAATTCAGTTATAATTGAATTAGTTCAAGATAAAGATAAGTAAAAAATCACAAATAATTATATATAACTCACACATAATTACATGTGACTCGCGCATAAAAGTATGTAACTCGTGTATAAGAAAATGTAACTCACGCATAACAAGATGTAACTCACGCATAATAACTTGTAACTGGAGTATAAAATGATGTAACTTCGTATATTATCAAATGTAACTCCAAGCTAGAAGCAAAATTAAATAAACAAACTCAATATCTTAAAACTTCTAAAAACGTGCGGAGTATAAAAGTGATAAAAAAATATATTATAGAAAAAGTGTATGCATATAAAAATATATTACAAAAAATGTATGAATGTAAAAAACAGATTACAAAAAATAGTGTATGAAATGTAATGTACTTATTTTATTTAGATTATTAAACTTTTTGTTATGTATTGATAAAGAATTAAAAAATAGATTCAATTATAATTTAAATTGAAGATAAGGAAAAGTAAAACTACAATTAAATTTTTAATATTTTAATTTGATGAAAATGGAGAAGAATTAAAGAAAAGAAAAATAAGGAAAGAATAACAAAAGAAAAAGGAAGGAAGAAGCTCCAGGGAAGAATAGAAACGAACGTAACTTTGTAAAAGTTGCATCAACACACCATGCGGAAGGTGGGCAGATCTCACGATATAATTTGCCGGACAACCCCCTAAACCCTAACCCTAAGTTCTAACCCTAAGTTCTAACCCTAATCACGATTTAAGCTTTTGAGTGTATGTTTTCTCTTATCTGTACTGTATCTTAAACTCTCTTGTAATCAACTTATTATTAATAAATTAGGGTAGTGTTCCCCAACACTCCGGCCACCACGTGTGGTTATTTCACGGTAACAAAAAAAATACGACGTATAACATGTAATGGAAAATTAAGTTATGAACTCCTACTTTTGCACATTTGTTATGGTTTTACTCTTATGTTAGTCAATTTCTTTTAGAAAAATAGCCGATCAAGTAAAAATAGCCAATCGAATTGGTCAATAAATTAAGGTGGATTAATTGAGGCATAAGTTATCCCACCTCTGCTACGCCCATGCATGCATGCATGACAAATGACAAATAATGGATGGGCGGGGACCTATATATAATACACAAACGGTTGAATCGTTGCACTAACATTAAGATATGAAAAGATGATAAGATTATTAAGAAGAATGAGTGTGATTGATATTAAATTGTTAAAGTAAGAATAACTTAGAATGTAATACACAAACGGTACCAAATTTTATGAAACAAATTTAGTTGGACGAAGAAAAAATGGGACGGTCTTAACGCAGCGCGAAAGGAATAACATACATGAACGAACAATTACTCATTTATTTATGGTTTACTCCTTGATCTTAATCAACATTCCATCCTTAATTGCACGCATGCATACCACACACATGCATTTTTTAGTTTCTGGTGAAGAGAAAACTATGGCTCCTTTCTAACTGTCACATATTTTCAACCTCAAATTCCTCAACCTATTAGCTCCTCTCTTCTTCATCTTCTTAACCCATATAAATGCATCCCATTCCCTCCTTCCTTTCATTCATCACAGCCTGCGGGCCTCAATAAAAAACCATCACCAATTAACTTCTTTGTTAAATTACTTAAATTCTTCTTTATTTTCACATATAGATAGAATCGAAAATAGAAAATATAAACATCTAAATAGTTAGCATTTATAAATGGCTGACGCTGGAAAAAGAAAAAATGTGGCCATAGCTGGTGTGGCCGCGGTCCTCTTGGTGGCATGCGTCGTCGCTGCCACCTTGTCTGTGACAAACAAGAAAGGCGGCAGCGGTGGCGCGCAGGTGACCACCTCGACGAAGGCGGTCCACGCGATATGTGCCACTACCGATTACAAGGACGCATGCGAGACGAGCCTTGTCGACGCGAAGAACACGAGCAACCCTAAAGAGCTCATAAAGGTGGCTTTCAACTCCGCCATGAAAAACCTGAGCGACGCCATCTCCCACTCGGCGGTGCTGAAGGAAGCCGCCAAGGACCCCCGGACCTCTGGCGCGCTGGACACGTGTAAGGAGCTGCTCGACGACTCGGTGGACGATCTCAAAAGGTCTTTCTCGAAAGTCGAGGATTTCGACATGGACAAGATCGAGGAGTACGCCGACGACCTCAAGGTCTGGATCAGCGGTGCCATTACCCACCAGCAAACGTGCCTGGACGCGTTCGAGAACACCACCGGCGACACCGGCGAGAAGATGAAGAAGCTGCTCAAGTTCGCCGGCGAGCTCACCAGTAACGGCCTCGCCATGGTCACCCAGTTCAGCGATGTCCTGCAGACCCTAGAGATCCCCGGAATGAAGAGGCGCCTCCTGAGCCACGAAAAGAAGGCGGGAGACGATGGCGGCCTCCCCGCTGACGGGCGACGGTTCCTCGCCGCCGACCCGGCGTCCATCAAACCCAACGTCGTCGTCGCGCAAGACGGGAGCGGGGATTACAAGACCATAAATGAGGCTCTCAAAGCTGTGCCGGAGAAGAATAACGACACTTACGTGATCAAGATCAAGGCCGGAGTGTACAAGGAGCAAGTAATGGTTCCGAGGAAGATGAACAAGATTGTTTTTCTGGGAGATGGGCCCACTGCCACCAAGATTACTGGAAGCTTGAATTTCATTGACGGGGTCAACACATACAGAACCGCCACTGTTGGTACGTACCTCGTACTAATTCCAAACATGTCACTAATTGAAACTGTTTTTCTTTTAAATTAGATTTGATTTTAAAGACATTGTTTGGTTAGAATCATTTCAAGTTGGTTTGTTTTTGGTTTTCATTTTTGGAATGGGGTAATCAATTAAGCAATATTCATTCAGCCTACGGTAAGAATATATTTTCCTCTCATCTTCCTCTTATTCACCATTTCCTAATAGTGATAAAACGTTTCAAACTAATAGTCATGTTACGTATTTTAGAAAGAAAATTGGTCTTATTGATAGATTTTGTGTATGTTTTAATCAAGTAATTTTGTATTATTATGGGTGCAGCAATCCAGGGAGACGGGTTCATGGCACGAGATATAGGGTTCGAAAACTCCGCCGGAGCGAGTAAACACCAAGCGGTGGCCCTCCGCGTCTCCGCCGACAACGCCATCTTCTACAACTGCCAGATCGACGCCTACCAAGACACCCTCTACACCCATTCCTACCGCCAGTACTACCGCAACTGCGTCATCTCCGGCACCATCGACTTCATCTTCGGCGACGCCGCCGCCGTCTTCCAGAACTGCAAGATGCTCGTCCGCAAGCCCCTGGAGAACCAGGCCTGCATGGTCACCGCCCAGGGCCGCAAGGACCACCGCGGGGTCGGCGGCATCGTCCTCCAGAACTGTGAGATCCTCCCCGACGAGGCGATCAAGGGCGCGAACCCACCCGTCCAGGTCTTCCTCGGCCGCCCGTGGAAGGAGTACTCCCGGACCATCATCATGCAGTCGTACATCGACGGCTTCATTGACCCCACCGGCTGGTCGCCATGGATGGGCAGCTTCGGGCTGGACACTTGCTGGTATGCAGAGTACCAGAACAGAGGCGCCGGAGCTAACACTGACAAGAGGGTCGACTGGAAGGGTTACCAGAAGCAGATTTCTCCCCAGGTCGCCAGCCAGTTCACCGCCGGAGTTTATCTTCAGGGAGATGACTGGATTAAGCCCACCGGAATTCCGTACGACTCTGGGATGGTCAAGACCGCCTAAATATAATAATACCATAATCATAAGTTAATAATGATTTATATTGTCACAGTATAAATTATAATAATTTAATTTAATTTGTTGTTATATTCCATTGGATAGGAATTTATTTCCATCTTATTTAGTTAGGCCATTTGTTTTTCATTTTTTTTGCTTCTTAATTGGTCTTTTTTCTTTGTAATTATACTGATTGACTATTCGTGTACGTATATAGTCTTACGGAGTATTGTAAAATGGAGTTCTTTGATGAACTCGATTCATGAATAACACCACAACAGTTGTACTATAGTTGATTTTAGTTATTTAAGAGATTTATTGTATGCCAATTCAAAATAGATAAACGTTAGATTTAGTTTTTAGAATTTGGAATCATTTTTGTAGCCTCAAAATTTACGCATTTGGTCATATAAATTATGGGCTATGTCATAATATTTTTCTGCATATTTAATAGGATAGTATTTATGTACAAGGTATGGACCATCACATAAGACTGTATATCATGTGATATATACTACCTCACTTCATTAATTACAGCAGTAACTTTTCTACTATTTGGGTACTCATTTTGATCATACTCTATTTACAAATGTTTAGAAAACCCTACTATAAAAAACCCTAAAAATATATCCCGTATTTAATACTGCGTTGCAGTCTTACAAAGTGTCCAAACTATTCACATCTCATTTGTCAATTATTAAGTAATAGTGTAATACCAATAAGCTTCATCTTCATTACGGAGTATCCTGCAATTTAGTTTTGCCATTTCTAGTATATGAATTAATGCATTTTCTTATTTTACTAACTCTTAATTTGATTATATTACTAGTATATAATATTCACAAAAAGTATTTATATCCACGTTAACCCTTCTCATTCTCAATTGATGTAATGGTTTAACATCATGGAACATAATATTCTTATATTTTACAAAAGCATCACTGATATATTCCTAGTAATTAATAACAATTAAACTACTTTTGAGTGATGATATGAGAATGTAATGTTAATCATGACTATAATTCCCTAAAAGAGAGAGTTCTACACATATATACCTTGTCACTATGTCAGTCTTCCTCTGAGTCTTCCACAATTCTGGCTTTCGATCTCTTGGCCCTGTGTAGAGCAGCCTCATCTAGTTCTGCCTCCTCTTCAACCTCGTCATCCTCACACTCTAAGTCCTCCACATTGGCCAGATGTTCCCCTTCCTCTCCTCTATCAACAGCGCCCAAATCTGCAGCTTCATTTTCTTCACCTGATGATGATTCAGTCTCAGCAACCACTTCATTATCATCATTACCATCTTCCCCTTCCATGGAGAAGTGTATCTTGAAGTCCCTGCAAGTGCTACGCTTTGCATGCCTCAACAAATTCACTTTGCTTGCCTTGCTAAGCTGAATAAGATATTTCTCGCAATCTTCTATCTGGTAGATCAAGTCAGGGATGCATCTGTTTTCCCTTTTTATCTTCTTCACAATTCCTTTGCCTTTTTCACTCTCTTGCTGCTTCTATATTTGAAAACAGAAACGAACAAAAAATCCATCAAAACAAACACTCACTCAGTGAATCTGCTCAACATAAGACATAACCCATTTAGAAATTCTTTCTTTTCTTTTCTTTTCTTTACCGTTTGCATATCTGCTACAAAATTGTACAGAGGAGCTGTTAACTGCCTGAAAGTTTCTTCCACAAGTTTCTGGAACTTGAGGCTGGGTAAGCGTTGCTTGCAGCCTTTGGAAGCAGAGTGGAGCTTTGTTATCCGAGCTAAATTCTTGTAAAACCTTGCAGCCAACATCAAAAGCTTTTCTGCCTCAGCTTCTGTAATTTTATTTCCCTCGAGTGTTATTTTAAAAAATAATAACGATTGACTGCAATGGGATAGAATAACAGCACCCTGAGTACGACTTGGCTTACCTTCCAGGTTCATCAAAACAAAGAAAGATGCCACGTTTACAACAGCTTCTGCTCTTGAATATAGTGTTTCTTCAATAACTAACTCCGATGCCTTTTCACCCCATTGTTGACTAGATATGTGTCTTTTATATGAACAAGAGCGTTCCTTCAACTTGATGCCGATCCATTCAATGTCAGTGATGGTTGAATCAAGGAATTGCAGTATGATTGATGCAATATCTGCGCTAGTAGATTTGTTAATGATATAATAAGATGTCTCTGGCAGATCACTAGACTCTTTCCCAACAACCGTCAAGAGCTCGGCAGCCATTTCTTGGGCAATAATCAAGTCATTAGGTGCTGAGCTTAAAGTCAAAGCAAGGTTGGCAATACTTTTAGCAACCTTGGGATTTGATATCTTTTTTCTTTTGCAGATACCCCTTGCCCAATTGCCAACACGATTCCTCCCCTCCTCAGGCAATTTAGTGGCAATTAAACACATAATGTCTGAAAGCACCTGCAAATAGGGACATGAATGTGGAGTTAACTAATGTATGCAGACAAACAATGTGAAAACTAAAGCTTTGCTATTATGCTCCACCTCTTACCTTAACTTCATGGAAGAAAGAATGCACAAGTAGCTCATAAAGCAATGGTCGTATACTCTTTTGAATGAATAGCTCATCACTTTTCATAACCACATCGGTAGCAACTTCATATTCATCATTTGGACCATCGTTGGCATCACTTCTTAGAACATCTCCTGGGACAGGGATGGACACCAGATCATCCATTAGATCCAAATATCCAGAGTGGAAAAGATTTATTCTTATCAATTCTTCCAAGCACGCTAGTACGGATTGGAGGTATTCCTTCTTGCCATCAAAACCTTTCTTCCCACGGGCTCCCTTCTTGTTAACTTTGTCAGGAACTGACGCTGAGAAGAGAAACCAAGCCATCTTCAGCAATGGGGGTCCCAATTGATTGATGTCACCATAGATCAACATCCTCATTGGGTCATCTTTGGCCGCACAAGTGTAGGATTTCAGTTGGCGCATGCAAAGTTCTAAAGCAAAAGAAAAAATGTTAACATGTGGAACTGAATCCTTTCCGGAGGAAGGCTGGCTATGGTTTTCGGGGGCCACAGGCTTCCATGATTCTTGAGCAGTATACAGTAGCTGACAGATCGCAGAGGTTGCCAATAGAGCTATTCTTTCCTCAGACAATATAGTGCAACTCAGATCAAGCTTTTCAGAGCCATCATTAGCTGAAAGGCGCAGTGATCCCCTTTTCACCCCACCACTCTGCCTAGTGGTATGCAAATTTTTTCTCAATGAGTTGTGAATTATAACAAACTCAAATAGCTCCTTCTCCAAATCCATTTTTTCTGCATCAGTTGCTTTGCCAAACTCATTGATAATGATATTGAGCATCACTTCAATGATCCCTGACAAAATCAATGACGCGCATTTGTGTTTTTCTTCTTCTACAGGTGTAGAACCGGCATCTTTAGTTCTACCTAGTAAGCCTGGTACAACATGGAAAAATCACCAAGAATCAAGAGTTAGTTCCTATGAAGTTGGACTTCATTTAACACGATAGACCTGAAAAGAGATACAAATTTTGAGAAACTAAGACTTGTTGCTATGTTAAGACTTGTTGCTATGTTTATGAAAGACATTTGCCACTAAGTATAGCTAATTATCATGGAACTATGGATATTGAACTATAGACCTTCAAAGTCTCCCTTTCTCAGAATCTTCCGTATGTTTGACAATGCATTTGACATTGACTCCGCAGACCATGCTCTTTCTGCCTGCTGCAGTTTGAGATAAGTGCACAACAAACATGTGAGCATAGATGACTGCAAATCTGCCAACATAAACTGTTAATAGTACTACCTCGTTCTCCTGTGTCAGCGAGAAGCCTAAAGAAGCCCATGAATTTGAAGAATGGTTCGTTTTACAATGTGGCTGGAGAAGAAGAATCCAAGAGATGCAGGAAAGAAGGCAATCCAGTGGCTCCTCGATATAAATTTTCCCAGTTTCTGATTTAACACATTTGTAGACATCCAACTGAACATCTGCATCCTGACAATACGAAAAAATAATACCAAAATGTGACCAATAACACAAAAGGGGGAGTAAATCTGGTGCATGTTGTTTCCATGTATTCTAGATAGTTTAAGTTCTCCCTTTGTTAATAAGCCTAAATAATTTACGTTTTACCTTCTTGTAAAACTGAAAGAAGTGAGGCAAGAGAAAGTCGAAAACAGAGCCAGCCGATAAGGGATCCACCAAAACAAGCTTTACCAGCCCATAGTAAAGAATCTTTCTGACTTTTGCCTAATAGCAACAAATGAAAATTAAATTTTAATTCTCCACACTGATAGTAAGTATGTGGTCCATGATATTTATTTAGGGATATGATAAATCTAAACCTGCTGAAAAAGGCATCTCTGCAGCAATCCATTGAGCTCCCAGAATAGACCAGATCCAGCAGCACATAGAATTTCAGGCTGCTGCTGGCTACAACTAGCTTGACTGCTTGATTCTTGCAAGGAAATTGTCTCATCTCTTTGAGATTGTTTTTCTCCCAATACCAAATCAATAATGGAATTGGTTGCTGCATAGCGAACTGACTCCTCTCTTCTGAACATAGCTTTACGCAAGACCAGAATGATATAATCCTGTGTCATTGATGAGCTAGCATCAATAATGTATTCCTTATAGCCCATGTTAGGATTCAATGAACTTTGTTTCCTGAGATTTGAATTTGCCAAATTCCAGATTGGCATGATATGACATTTGTTTTTAGATTGACGTAAAACTAATAAAAGTTATAAAACTGGTATGCACAGCTATGAGTTGCACTACCTGGAGATCACGACTTTGTTTGATGAGAGGTAAAAGGGCAGTAACCAAATGAGAGGACACATTGCCATTCATGAATGCATAATAATCCAATAATGCCTTCAGATGTGAAACATGTTCCAACATCGGATATAAATACCTCCGGATAAGACAACCAATCAATCTACATAATTACAATAATAATAAATATTTATGAAAAATAAAACAGCTATAGAAAAATGCTAAGACATTAAACAACCAAGCACAATCACCTTATGATCAGAAGGCCTTGTTCAGGATTCAAAGACAGAATGCGAAGCTTGCATTGCTCAATTATCTGCAACATTTTAATTAGCTCAATTATATAAAGAGCATTCTTATGTCCTCTACAAACACTAATTTTATGTGCGTAAAATGGAGCAAGAGCGTGAAGTCATTTGGGTGATAAATTTTTCATTCAAATGAAGCATAACTATGATGGTTCCCCTACTCACATCTTTACTCACCTCATTTCTAGACATATCATGAATTTCAAATAAACTTCTGAGAACCTCATTAAATAGTTCCTCAGGACCCATAATGCCATCTATCTTGTTAAAGTCTTTACAGATTTCTTTTTCAACCCCTTCAAGCAACAAAAACCCAAGTTGTACAATGCTGGGCACCACGTGCTCTCCTCCACCGTTGCTCTCATTAACCTGCAAAGATGAAAAATAAATGGTTCGCTTTTCTATGATTTCATATACAGTGGAACCTCAAAGACAAGTCAGCATTGAACATGTCAGAAATAGGGAAGGCATGATGCAATAAAGGTGATAAATGACAAATCAGAAATTCTTCAAGCATCATTATACACTAAAGACAATGAGGCAAATAGCACCCATATGAATTACTGAATTAGGCACAGACCATATCTCTAATTAGACTGCAAATTCTATATAATTAGTGGCATCAAATAGTTGTATGTTGAACTCCTGGACCTACCAAAACTGGCTAGTTTTTAAGAACCTTTCTTTTCTGATCAAGAACCCAATAGTCGCTGCTTATAATGGCCAAATAACATTCAGGCAAATGATCTTGCATTGTGTTCTTAAACCTTCATATAACAGAGACATGCCAAGGAATGCATGACTAGATATATGCTCAATGAAAAGCAAGGATAATTTACAGTTCTTAGCAATGCTTTCTCCATCACTCTAGCCGTCTTTAAATACTCTTCCTTTAAATCATCTGACAGCCATTTGCAACCTCTGAAATACAACAAAGATTTATAAGAAAAGACTTTGGAGCCAAGTATATAATGCAAGACCACACAATCGCAACTTTTCTTACTTATCAAAAATCCAATAAGAGCTTAAATGCTTAATTATGACATATTGACATAATGACATCAATGTACCACCCAATCAAGGTAGTTTTCATGATACAAATGTTAATGTAAACACGTTTTTACAGCTCAATAAGAAGTCTGTCTTCCAGCACTTGGTAAAGAGTAAAACTGCATAAAATGTGTGCTCTAAATCTTTCAACTTAAATTGCAGTTTTGCTGAAGGGGCTTGTGTAAAAAATATGGAAGTTGATTGTACGGAGTATAGCAAAGTAGTTCCTCACACTTTATGAAACCACAAAATTGAAAGTGTGTTATTTTATATGTTTGACCAGAGGTTACAGTAACTGTGCCTTTACTAGACTAACAATATGAAGTAAGCACAACCTAATGGGGAGTAAATGTAGTAAGACTTACAGAGCAAATCTGGAGTCTTTATAAGCGGCAAACAAAGCTGTTTTCAGGACTCCCATTGTGCGCTCAGTGAACCTTCTAATCCTAGCAACTGACAACAAAACCGCAACAGCAAAATGGTTAAACGCACAACAATCTGATCTGACGAGGGCCAAAACTTCTTGGCCCAAAGATGGGTCTTGTTTGACTGCAAAGTTCACATGAAGCAACACTGTTCCTTCAACTTGCCGACCTATAGAGCCCCACTTCCCTGCTAAATTCTCCCCGAAGTGCATCACGATACCTTCAACCACTTCCCTCTTCCCGAAACCTTTTGATGCTAATATAAGCAACTGATAAACAAGCCCAGGCAGGTCTTGTATTTCCACATTTTTCATTCCACTGAAGACTTTATTCAAAAAGTCCCTTTCCTTATCTTTATAGAGAAGGGGGAAATCGCTCAAAATTTCCACCATTTTCAACATAAAAACATTGCCCCAGTTAAAACTAAGCATTTTATCGATAGCAGAATTAAAATAATGGATAGGTTTATCCACTTCACTGGACGTTTTTATCAACCGAAGGCAATTGGACAGAAGAATTAGAATGTGAGAATCATCGGAATTGATAATTTGGTGGACATAGCACAGAATTGTGTCGATGATGGAGGCCAAATCTGGAAATGAAATGCAGTCAAGGTGGGAGGAGAAGAGCTGGAGAGTATAAAGGGAATGTCGGTCGTGGGGAATTTCATGGGAGCAGAAAAGAGAAGTATAAGAAAGGATAAGGGCGGATGTTAGAGATAACAGAGAAGGATGGAGTTGGGTCAGAGAGAGAAGGGCGGAGACGTACTCGGAGACGGATACTGATGAGTTGGGAGAGGCGGCGCGTGCATGGAGGTAGGAGATGAGCGTCTCGTGGGAGGCTTCGCTGAGGATGAACGGAGGAAGGGGAGTAGATGAGTTGGGGTGGTATATTTGCGCTAGCTGGATTATGTCTGTATCAGTAAGCGGAGGAGCTGGTGGCGGTTTTCGAGCTGCGGCAGTTTTCATGACTTCCGGTGGCGGGTTTCGAATTGCGACTGATGGAACGGATTAGAATTTTTGGAATTTAATAGTTGCACATCGCTCAGCGCGGGAGAGAGTGGGAGACGATGTACCGATTAAACCTGCATTTCTCATTATTATTAAAGCTTGTTCGATACTCCATATTTTATGGGGGTTGCTTTGCCCACCCCCATATTTACTTTACGTAACCTATGCAGGACGGTTTTGACCTTTTTGGTTATTAAATTAAAATTAAGTTAAAAACTAAATAATACTTGGAGTTCTGGTAGGATCAGAAGGGTTGTCCTTAACAATTTTGCAATATGTGGAGTTCTATTGAGTTTTACTCACCATCCAACAACTTGCTGCTATGTGGCAAAAAATTCATTTTTTATTATATGTTATAACTTTTTTATTTTTGCTCCTCTTTTTATAAAAATTATATCAAATTAAATATATTTTTATGGTATATCATATGACATCAATATCATATATATATAAATTTAAAAAAACAATTGGCCAGGTCTGGTGAATAGCCGATAAATGTGTATTCACTACGTAGTATTATTAAAATCTAATTTAGTCCGATCTGATCTAATTTGTTTGAAATATGTTTGGATCAAAATCAGTTCAATTAGAAATATTCTAAATATCATTCACATCCTAAATCTAGTCATGTAACATATATGGTCGTCATGTGGAATCAGCATGGTGCCGATTGAGTTTGATCTGGGATCGAAAACATGAGAAAAATCCAAATTTACGGGGTTCGATATTTGTGTCAATCAGTTTTTCGTGCAATCCAACAATTGTTAATATATTTACGATATAAACTAGATTACAAATAAAATAGTTATAGCAATTTCATATATTTTTTGTAAAAACTAGATTACAAATAAAATAGTTATAGCAATTTCAAGATTAAAAATAATAACAAGGCTATACTACTCTAAATATTGACAAACTTCATGAAACACATCAAAAAGAAGAAATGGGATACAGATAATGAGGCAGATGAATATCTCATAAGTCTGAAAATCAAGAGTACTATTTTTTAGATAATTTTAAGATTCATTCTCCATTGTATATTTGTATAAGAAGATTGTAAAAAAATTATGAGAGTATTAATAATGGGTTCCAACTATTTATATAGTAGTTGTTTGATGGTAAATTTGAGTATATTTCAAAATAGTTACGTTATTTTTTAGAAACACGTTACACAAAATTTTATAGGAAATATAAAACTTATTTTTATTTTAATGAAACAATAAGGCCCATTAAAAAAATTACTCCGTAATATGGATGATAGTGAATTTAATAGGGAAAAGTATGTGGGTGTGCCTAGCAACCTAATTAGGCATGTTTCCTTATCGACGTGGGTAAGGATACACTTGTCCAACTTTGACAAAATATTGGTGCCCATAGCAATTTTGGCGGTGCGCCCAGCAGACCCGTATTTTATTTTGGTGGAAGGGACAAACACACCCTTAAACTTTTCTTTAGGGACAAAACCCTACGAAATTCCACAAAGGAGGGCAAGCACCCCCCTGTATAACGCGAACTAATTGAAGGGAATTGACAACTCTTAAGTTGCGTTGTTCCTTTGGGCCTTGTTTGGTTCAAAGGAGGGGAGTGAAGGGGAGAGTTAACTAGGGAAGAGTAAGGAATGATTTTGATAAAAAAATTGTGTTTGTTTGGAAAAATAGAAAGAAATTTTAATGAAATTATTTTCCCAATTTATTTTTATTTGATAGCTTATTTAAAAAGCAAGATGCATCTAACTATGATGAATATTACTCCTAAGGTCATCACTCATAATATAATTTTCATTTTCATTTTTTGAATTTTTTATTTTTTACCTTTTAAATCTTCTAATTTTTGAATTTTTCATTTTTTTATTTTGAATTTTCCTATAGTGAAATTTAAATTTTGAATTTTTGAATTTTTAATTTTTGAACTTTTTAATTTTTTAATTTTTTAAATTCAAAACTTTTAAGTTTTATATTTTTTTAAATTTATAAATTTTTAAATTTCACCTTTTTATTTCTAAATTTTGAAAGTTTTAAGTTTTCAACTTTTCAATTTTTGTTTTTCTGATTTTTTATTTTTATTTTATTTTATTTTTTATTTTTTTTTCTCAATTTTTTAATTTTTGATGTTTTTTATATTATTTTTACATTTTTATATTACAATGTTTTGTCCATTCACGTAGGTGAAAAATGATGAATAGTTTGTTATCAAAAAGTTTCCTTTGAAATGCCCTGATTTGGGAGGATTGAGAATTAGGGGAGAGCAAACCCGACCCTACCCGATTGACCCGATCAGATATATCCGACTTTTTGCAATCCAAGACTTAAGCGCGTAGCGGGTAGGGTTACCAATTATGGTACCCGACTCGCCCGAAAAACCAAACTAGCATAGTATATATACTAATTTGAATTATTATGCATGTTCAAATATCGCAATTATTGTATGTCAATTACCATATTATGCATGTTCAAATATTCCAATTAACATATTTGTACAACTATAACTTTGAATGTTGTATTGTTATGACTTTGAATTATATTTTGATCAATTATCATTTTATTTTTCACAATAACAAATATGTCAATCACCGTATATTATTATTTTACATGGTTAAATAAGTCGATTACCGTAATATTTGCCCATACATTTACTATGAAACATTATGTTTTTATAATATTTTACTTTATTTTTTATTAATCATATATTTATTAATTAGACTTGTATGCTAGGAACCCCATGACCCAGTTTTTCTGGGTCGGCCACTGCCATGTAGAACGGATATAAGAACATTGTTTCAGGTTTTTATAACCTCATTTTCTGTTGAAGAAAGATTGGAATGTCAGACTTAAATGTTTTTATGCCTTGGAATACCGATCGATCTCATGTTTGGAACTCCTCATGACATTATGTCTGAAGTCATGGATCTAAACTAACTTATGACATTATGTACTCCGAAGTATACATCTAATGGAACTATGCAAGGAATTATGCAGTTCTTTCATATCCGTCCATACTATAACATTTTCCCTCCTTTCAGTCCTTTGAAGTTTGAACCACATGAGCGAGTGCAGGTATACTCCGAGTACTCATATACTCGGATCATATACGATCATATACTCCGATTATATACGATCATATAATCAGTCATATACTTTATTATTTGTATACTCTGATTATACATTCGGATTAGCAGTTGCCATAAGAACTCCCTCAAAATACGATCATATACTCCGATTATTTTAGACAATTCATACACACATTGACACATACACGTTGTCCAAACTGTTGCAGTAGATCACAAATTGAACTTTCAAAAGAATGAAAAGACTTGATTATCAAAAATAATAACTGCCTTCCTTTCAATAACACCTCAAGGGGTTAGGCAGAAAAGTAGACACTGCGGATGAAGGGAAGTATGATGATGGACTGATGGTAATTATTAAGCTACAGCTAGGCACAACCTAAACAAACTTGTCAGAAAGTATGCATCCCTTGAAGTGTAAAAGATTCAATCTTTGAGATAGTTGGCAACACGCTCTGCCTTAGCACCCGATTTGTGATCGTAGTACTCGACAAGTGCAGCCCCCGACAAAGCAGCAAGTGTGAGTGCTTGAGCATGCAACCTGATCCAACAAGCAACAAATGCATCCATTTAGTAATGTGTTGTCTGAGTGAGAAAAAGTAAGAGGGGATACATATACAATGCATCAACAACTGCTCCACAGCTATGCCCTATACTCCGTATATAAGTCTGGTTTCAATATGTACCACAAAAAGTGTCCTTTCATAGGACTCTATCTCAAATGTTGGATTTAAAAGCAATAGGTTATGAGCATTCTATGCCGAGTATGGTCCATTAAACGTGTGCACTTAGTGGTGGAGGGATGGAGGGGGCCGCGGCCTCCCTTTTTCGTAGTGTGGGCGCACATACACATATATGAACTATAAAAAAATTCAAATTTGAAGCTATGATCCCCAATACAAAATTTTCAAGCTTTGGCATTCTTATATGAAATTTTTGGCTCCTCCACTGTGCACTGAAATTTATATGTATTTATTAATTTTTCGATAACAAAGGTACTTATTCATATGTGGACTATTGAAAAGTTGAAATTATATAGAAATATACAGAGAGAAAAGTAAGTGAGAAACAACAGCATCATGAAGGTTGCAAACCGGCAGCATAGAGGTCCTCATCCACCAAAAAGACTATATTAGGAACACATGTTACCAGTTCGGCCTTGAAACTGGCTTACTGGCCTGTAGTGTAAGATGAACAATAAACCAGACCAGAATCAAGTTTGATGGATAAATATTAGGCAAAACAAAGCAAGAATTTAGAAATAATAATCACTGTAATTTAATAACCAAGAATGGGAGGTGAATTGTAATGACCAGTTGTCAAGTGATCCGGTTTGAAATGGGAGTTGGGGCACTTCTATCGACATTTCGAAATGATTAACCTCAAGCTTCTAAAAATTTCAAAACTACCACCGGTTTCATTAGAGCATGGTACAGCCTGTTATACCACACATTTGCCACACTTCTAATCCCACCAAAGCACCAATCAATTACATATGAGGCATGTAACTGGGTGGGGAATGGGGGACGAATAAAATGACCAAGACGTAATTAATGGAAAGAAATGGAATAATACTATTTCAATGATCGGCCCTTTACGCTGTCCATCCTTTGCTGAAATCCCGAAACTCCAACTTTCCCACAATTCACCCACACATTGCATATATAAAAACAAGCAGGCAGCATATTTGGAGCACAAGGGAGGTGAATTCATTACTTAAAACAAAGCATTACTTGAATCGGAAAGAAGTATTTCATGAATGAAAGCGTCAATCTATAAGATGAAGTGTTCTTCCACTTCTTCCGATTCCTTCTTCAGAGTTGCTAATCTATAGATGCGGTTAGGCCCTCATCGATCCAGCGGAGGTGTCACTTATTTCATGGAGGAGCCGAAGTGTTCTTCCACAATCTTAAAGCCACTTATTTCATGGAGGAGCCGAAGTGTCAATCTATATCTACGGGAGTTGCTCACTTCCATATTGTATTTGAATTTTACAACACATTGTAGAAAAATTCAAGCATTTATCACTTCTATTCTAAAGTTAATTGA